GACTGCAAGGAGATCCAACCAGTCCATCCTAAAGGAGATCAGTCCTGGGTGTTCATTGGAAGGACTGATGCTGAAGCTGAAACTCCAATACTTTGGCTACCTGATGGAAAGAGTTGACTCATTGGAAAAGACCCTGATGCTGGAAGGGATTGGGGGCAGGAGGAGAAAGGGACAAGAGAGGATGAGACGGCTGGATGGCATCACCGACTCGATGGACATGAGTTTGAGTAAACTCCGGGAGTTGGTGATGGACAAGGAGGCCTGGCGTGCTGCGATTCCTGGGGTCACAGAGAATCAGACGCGACTGAGCGACTGAACTGAACTGAAGACAGTCATTTCCATAAGAAAAATGCATTGGTTAGCTCAAAGTTTGAGAAAAGTTAAGTTCAGGTGGAACCAGCTGTCATTAGGGCAACACAGAATTTTAAGAGAAAACTCTTTTTAAATTTGTATAGAGAAGGGAGAAAAAATGTAACACTAGTTTGTTTCCTCCTGCTGCTAAAGAGAGAGAGAAAATGTCTGACATTTGCAGCCTATTTCCTCCGTTTGGAGACCCCTGGCCTTCCTACCTGGAAATCTGTGCCTCACTCCTGGACACCAATTGGTTGCTCAACTAGTCTCCTGGCTGTCCCTTGACCCAGATTCCTTGTGTCTGTCTCTCCCGCATTTTAGGTCACCCTACTCCTCGTCTGAGACCCACCCCACCCTTTTCCACTTATCACTTGGCTGGATGGTGACTTGCTTTTCTCCCCATCACACTGTGCCCTAGATACAGACTAAACAACTTCCACGGACTTCAACACCACCACCCTCATTGCCTATCAGATCCTGTTGTAGCTACACATTCCGGAAAACAAACTCACTCAGAACGACAATGCAGACAGTGGAGTGCAGTTTATTACACCCGCAGACCCAAGGCAAAATCTCCTCTTAGCCAAGGACCCTGACCAGTTTTTGTGAAAACCTTATATACCCTAAGTGTACTCGCTCAATCCCACCTCCCCAAATTCCTTGAAACTAGTCTGGACAACGTAAAAGAGAGATACGATCAAAGTTAACCCATGATTCATGAGTCACAAGACTAGATAAACAGTGGATATTTATCAATAGCTTTGTGGTCATATCCCGATAAACATAATGGAATTGACCACTTTGTTCTGTTACAGAGATAATTAGCATATTCTTTTAGGCAACGGGGATTCCAAGTACAAATCCTGAGGCTCTTTTACCTGGGGTGGGGAGTGGGGGGTCTGGTTTTCCAATGGTTTGCCGTTTCTATAGAGACTGGGCACAAAGTTCAGAGTCCACTGGGACGGTGACCATGCGTGTAGCCTAATGTTCACAGCCTGGCCTAAGATGGAGCCCAGCTCTGTCTGTTTCCTCCTTCAATCCCACTTGTCATTGTTGCTGTTGTTTAGCCATGAAGTCATGTCTGACTCTTGCGACCCCTTGAACTGTAGCCTGCCAGGCACCTCTGGGATTTCCAAGGGACTTCCCAGACAAGAATACTGGAGTGGGTTGTCATTTCCTACTCCAGGGGATTTTCACAACCCAGGGATCAAATCCGCATTGGCCACCTGGGAAACCCGTCAGCTCCCAGTAGGAATGGCTGATTCTGGAGCATGGGATTAGGCCAGCTGCTCCTTCCTAGGGCAAGTTCAGACTCTGCCTGGCTAGACCATGTGATGTGACACCACTGATAAGTGTCTGATGGTTCAGGGTAAGCAGTGCACAGAGAGAACTTTATTTCATCTGAGAACTCCACAATGAAGCAACCCTTCCTTCTATATCTGTATCCTTCTACTTAAAGATACAAATTCCCATAGTGCTATTGAAGGAGGAAACAGAACAGGTTCTATCTTGAGAGCAGGACTCCATCTTGGGCCGGACTGTGAACTTTGAGCTATATGCCCAGTATCTATGGAAACGACCTACCAACCGGAAAACCAGGCCTCTGGAAGGAAGAGCCCCAGGGCTCTCCGTTGCTAAAAGAATATCCTAATTATCTGTGTAACTCAATAGAATCATACATTCTATTATGCTCATTGGGGTATGACCACAGGACTATTGATAATTGTCCACTGTTAACTACAGCTTAAGGCATATGAATCACTGGGTTAACTTTGATTGTCAGGGAATTTGGGGAGGTGGGTTTGTGCACACTTAGCGTATATAAAGTTTTCCCAAAAACTGGTCGGGGTCCTTGACTAAGAGGAGACTCTGCTTTGGGCCCGCTGGTATAATAAACTGCACTCCACTATCTGCATTGTCCTTCTGAGTGAGTTTGTTTCCTGGAGCTCGTGGCTACAACATTTGGTGCATTGGCCGGGAAACTCCTCACTTTGAGAAGACAAGTCCCATTTGGGACTCTGAGGCCTTATGGCTTGAATCTTCAAGAGGGGGGGAAGGTGCCTCGCCCTTCTGGAAAGATTCTGCTTCTCAACGCCTGGACCTTTCACTTTAGCAGGTAATGGATAGCAGCAGGGGAACTGAGTGCTCAGGTGAGGAGGAACCCACCCAGCAGGGTGGAAGAGGGGGCCTGATCCCCCCCACCCCCGGGGAGGGACTAGAAGGGGCATGGGCCCACAGGAGCCTGGAATAGGCAGATGGCAGCGATTGCATGGTACACAGGTCGAAAAGTGTGTTAGGGCTTAGGAAGGAAATTTGTGAAGGTCATTTAGGAGGTGTGTCCATGCCGTCTTGGGGAAAATTATTACCAAGCAATCACCAGGGGATTTTTAGAAGAAACTTGGTCCTTGTATGCTTGTATTCTATCCTCCCCCAGGAGGTGTCCTGTCTGCTATGAAATTCTTGACCCCCTCAGAATTATCAGGCTAGAAGGAGGGGGATATGTAAGTCAGTATAAATTGGCTTTTCTGGAGACAGCCTGGGATGTGGGATATTTAACCCATCTGTGTTTTCATCCACACCTGATCAAGTCCACCAAAGCAGAACGGACTTTAAGGAAGAAATAGTCTTGGACCACATGGTGTTCTGGTTCGGCCATACTGACTGGCAGGTGAAGAGCCACTGATCCCCCTTCTCCCTCTGGGATCTGACAGGATTTGGACGAGGATGACCAACCCCTCCCCCACACTGGATGATGAAGTGCCCGCCACCCAGCGCTCTACCAGGACTAGAAGCCGCCATAATGCCCGATCCAGGGTCAGGTGAAGTTCCCCAGCAGCCACTGCTCCTCCGCCAGCTCTCCTGGAGGTCACAGAGCCACCACCTCGGCAGGCCCCGATCCTGGGGGCAGAAGCCTCTGGCCAACACTTCCAGGATCCAGCTCCAGCCGAACTGCCCAAGCTATACCCGCCTCTCCTGGTGAGTACTGACAGAAAGGGAAAAGGAGACACCAGAATCAAACAGAGGCTGCGTTCTGCTAAGGAGCCCGAAGAAAGGACCCCGCTACAAATGCCCCTCGGAGAGTTACAGCAGCCTCCAGTTCAGGGGCAGATGGCGACTGCCATCAGCCCCCCGTAGCCTATGATTACCAGATTAAGCTAATGGAGACTATTTTTTGAACCCACTGCCCTACACGGGATGACATAACCCAACTTTTAGTCTCCCTCTTCAGCACTGAGGACAGACAGAGGATCCTAACTGAGGCCAGAAAATGGTTACAAGAAACGGCACCTGAGGGCATTGCAATCCTGCCGCGATGGGCAGAACTAGCCACCCCCGATGAGAGGCCCTGTTGGGACTGTAACAGAGGGAGGGAGGGCCACCTGGAGAGATATTGGGCAGCTATTTTACAAGGTCTCAAGAGCGGGGCCCAAGAACCTATAAATAGGGCAAAATCCTCCGAAGTGATTCAAAGGGAAAGTGAATCACCCTCTGAGTTCTACGAAAGACTGTGTGAGGCCTGTATGCTTTATATGCCAATAGATCCAGAGGCTGCTGGGTCTCAGATGGTGATAAATGCAGGCTTTGTGTTTCAAGCCTACCCCGAAAATGTCAGATGGGGGGACACCAAGTGACTCATGAATTTTTATACATCTCTGAATGCCCAGTACCTTTGTTGGGAAGAGACTTGCTGTCCAAATTGGGGGCACAAGTGGCCTTCCCCCCCCCCCCCACCATGAAAGACCCACTTTTTGAGTGGGCTCAACCACTTATTTACTCTTCCTCTTGGTAACCCCTCAAGATAAATGGAGGCTGCACAGTCTCCCAGAAGGGAAACCGGGTGGGCTAAACAGTCAAGGGAGAGAGAGAGAGAGAGAGAGAGAGTTAACGCAACAATTCCCTGAGGTCGGAGCGGAAGACAACCCTCCCAGGCTTACAAAACAAGTCCCAGTGGTAATAGAACTCAAACCCGGTACAATTAGGTCAGCACCCGCCTTGGGCCTGCCAGACTTTGCTAAGCCATTTACTCTTTACATGACTGAAAAGTTCAAGGTGGCTATGGGAGTGCTGTCCCAGACTAGGGGGACATGGGACAGACCCATGGCTTATCTCTCAAATCAGTTGGACAATGTTGCCACTGGGTGGCTGGGATGCTTACAGGCGGTTGCTGTGGTTGCCTTACTGGTCCGGGAGACAACCAAGCTGACTTTGGGCCAAGATTTGATCGTAAAAGTCCTGCATGAGGTCAACACTCTCCTGCGAGGAGACACCCATAAATGGCCGTCGACATCCCAGATTACTCAATACCAGGGACTGTTATGTGAGAACCCCCATGTTACTATTGAGCCTTGTCAGGCCCTGAATCCGGCCACTCTCCTTCCCGTGGGAGAAGGTGGGCCCTCACATGATTGCAAAGAAATATGCCAGCAGACCTGACTTGATAGACCAGCCAATCCCGGACTCAGATTGGGTCCTGTACACCAATGGCACCAGCCTGGTGAGACAAGGACAACGACTATCGGGATATGCAGTAGTCATGGAAGAAAGCATCATTGAGGCTAGCTCTTTGCCATCACACTGGTCTGCTCAGTGGGTCAAACTGTATGTTCTAATTCGGGCCCTCCAGCTGTCAAAAGGTAAGAAGACAAACATTTACACAGACTCCAGGTATGTTTTTGCTACTTTACATGTACATGGGGCTTTATATAAAGACAGAGGTCTTCTGACAGCCAGCAGAAAGGACATTAAAGATAAAGAAGAAATTCTGACCCTATTAGATGCTATCTGGGAACCAAAAAGGGTTGCAGTCATACACTGCTGAGGACATCAAAAAAAGGATACCCCCCAGGCAGATAAATAGACTGGCAGATAAAACTGCTAAACAAGCAGCCGAGGGCTTGGGGGTGACAAGTGAAGCCCCTACTAAAGCTCTCGTATTGGCGGAGCTGCCTGAGCTAACACCAGAGTATCCAAAATACACTGAAGCCCCAAATCAACTAGCCAAAGTGGAAGGGGCCATGAAGACTGAAAAGGGATGGTGGGAATTGCCAAGTGGCAAATTATTGGTACAGGAGGAACTGGCATCCACTCTGGTAAGCCAAACACACCAAGCATTCCACCTAGGCCATGATAAACTGGAAAAGCTAATTTGAAAATATTTCTTGGTTCCCCACCTCTTTTCCCTATGCAGGACAGAATCTCAGAACTGCACTGCCTGCTCAAAGGTTAATGCTGCCTCTCGGCACTACTTGGGTGAAGGGTGATTTGTGGAACATTGTTATAGTTGCCTTGATGGTTCTGCTTTGTGGACCCTGCAGTTTACAATGTATTATGAACTTTGTAATACAAAGATTGGTGTCGTTCTCCCAAATTGACGGTTGGAGAGCCAGGGTGCAATATATCCCTATGAATGATGCTAATACTATGAGTTAAGAGCATCGAGAGTGAGGAATGAAGGAGGAAACAGAACAGGTTCTATCTTGAAAGCAGGACTCCATTTTGGACTGGACTGTGGACTTTGAGCCATATGCCCAGTATCTATGGAAACCACATACCAACTGGAAAACCAGACCCCCAGAAGGAACAGCCCTAGGGCTCTCCATCACCTAAAAGAAAACCCTAATTATCTGTGTAATCTAATAGAATCATATTCTATATGCTTATTGGAGTATGACCACAGGCCTATTGATAATTGTCCACTGTTAACTACCTAGGCTTAAGGCATATGAATCACGGGTTAACTTTGATTGTCAGGGAATTTGAGGAGGTGGGTTTGTGCACGTACACTTAGGGCATATAAGGTTTTCCCAAAAACTGGTCAGGGTCCTTGGCTAAGAGGAGACTCTGCCTTGGGTCCCCTGGTGTGATAAACTGCACTCCACTATCTGCATTGTCTTTCTGAGTAAGTTTGTTTCCCAGAACGCATGACTACAACATTATTAAGAAACGAAAAGAGGTTAATGAGTAGTTCCCATATTCTTCTGCCATTGGTACACAGTTAGAGAAGAAAAGACAGGAAGGCATCTGATGGGGCTGTTTCTTATTCGCTGACTTCACTGGGGCTCATTTCAGCATTGCAGATGTGCCGAAATGAAAACTCAGTGTGTTTCCTTCTTCCGTGACTTTTTGTCATTCCAACTGGTTCCCCAGGATGGTGGGAGGTGCAGACGAACCATCCAGGGTGGGCAGCCGACTCTAAGGTATTCCAAGAGCCCACTTTATTCCGATAAAAGATGAAGGGCAGACATGTCGGTTTCTTCTGGGCAGCCAGGTTGGAAAGTTTCTTCTTCTAGGAGGTAAGAGAGATGAGTTAGACAGTACAGGTTTTGGGATGGAGAAAACTCAGTGTGTGTGCTCTTGCAGCAAATCCTTCCACTCAATACTTTCAGGCAGATGGATGCTCCTGTTATATTAGCCAAAATTAAAATTTGTGGAGCATGTGGGTAAAGAATCTGCCTGCCGTGCAGGAGACACAAGAGACACAGGTTTGATCCCTGATTTGGAAAGATCCCCTGGAGAAAGGCATAGCAACCCACTCCAGATCCTTGCCTGGAGAATCCTGTGGATGGAGGACCCTGGCAGGCTACAGTCCATGGGGTCGCAAAGAGTCAGTCACGACTGAAGTGACTGAGAACAACACAGCCCAGACAGGCATTGAGGACTTTGACTTTCCACTTGGGTGGCCGAGGGCAGAAGAAACCGGCTGAAACCCTCACCTTCAGCTGCAGGGATGGCTGGCTTTGCCCTTTCTTCGTGTCACAGCAGAGACAGAGCTCGCCTTTTGAGACAGCCAGGAGAATGGGGCTTCCTTTGTTCTCACAAACTGACTTCACACGGGAGGCTAATACAAAGAAGGTTTCTAGAAAATGATAGAGGAATGCGTTGGTCCTTGGCATAGGGAAGAGGCCCTCTTGCCTGCTGGGGTTTTGGGAAAGATGTGAACACCTTTCCTTCATGTCTGTTAGTGGTTCAATTGTGTCCGACTCTGCAAACCCATGGATTGTAGCCTTCTAGGCTCCTCTGTCCATGGGATTCTCCAGGCAAGAATACTGGAGTGGGTTGCTGATCCTGCCTCTAGGGGATCTTCCTGAGTCAGAGATCAAACTCAGGTCTCACGCATTGCAGGCAGGTTCTCTACCATCTGAGCCACCAGGGAAGCCCTTGGCTCTGGGTCAAAGACACCCACCCCCCATTCACTCTGGCCAAGTTGTCCCTTCTTCCACAGCCTGGGTCCTTCTTTCAGAAGAAGAATCCTCCCAGAAAGACATCCCTCAAGTCTTGTCATCATTACAGACTTGCCATCTAATTCCTAGCAATCCTAGTGGTTCCTGGACCCTTTCACCCTGCTCCTCCCGGCCGTCTGGAGCTTCAGGAGTGATGCAGCCTGAGCTGTGCCCCTCACAGGAAGGCGGTCCCCTGACTGCAGGGACAGAAAACACGACACCCCTGAGAGTCACCTGGGAGTATGTAGGTCTTATTCGGAACTGCTCTGAGGGTCTCAGAGTCCAGGACCAAAACTTTGTGATCCCTGTCATGGATGGTGAATTTCTCTGGGCCCTTGGCCTTCACTCTTGGACCTAGATCAAATTAACCAGATAGGAACATTTCATAATGAGTACAGAAAATTCGACCTTCCATCCCTGTATGTGTGTGTGTGTGTGTGTGTGTGTGTGTGTGTTAGCTGCTCAGTTGTGTCCGACTCTTTGAAACCCCATGGACTGTAGCCCACCAGGCTCCTCTGTCCATGGAATTCTCCAAGCAAGAATACTGGAGTGGATTGCCATTCCCTTCTCCAGGGGATCCTCCCAACCCTGGGATCAAACCCAGGTCTGCTGCATTGCAGGCAGACTCTATCATCTGAGCCACCTAGCCCTTGGTCAATGGTCCTGGCCCCCCACCCTGCCTGTGAACTTGGCCATCACAGCCCCCCCTCAAGATTTCTCCCACCCCAGGCTGTCTGCCTTGCTCCAAACAAGCAATTTAGCATGTATGTAAGCACCTGGGCTCTGATTCTGACACATGGGTTCAAATCCAAGATCTGACACTTACTACTTTAGGACTTGTTTAGTCATTAAGTCATGTCTGACTCTTTGCCACCCCATGGACTGTAGCCCATCAGGCTCCACTGTCCAAGGGAATTCCCAGACAAGAACACTGGAGTGGGTTGCCATTTTCTTCACCAGGGGATATTCCCGACCCAGGGAGGGAACTCACACCTCCTGCATTGGCAGGTGGATTGTTTACCATTGAACCACCAGGGAAGACATACTTTAGGACTTAGAAGTTACTAAATCTCTCTAAACCTCAACTTCCTCATATGTGAAATGAGGGGAAGTGGTAATAACAGCACCTACCTGGGGTCTTGAGAGAATTTAAATGCTTAATCAGATGAATAAGAGTTAGCCAGGTATCAGCTTCAGAAATCACTCAGTACTAGTGAGTCATTACTCTTCTTAACCCTCTTTCCTGCATCTTCTCAGGGGCATCACACTACCAGCACTGCCTGGGCTGGGACAAACCCCTGCTGAGCCGATGCACGGACAGTGGCAGAGCAGGAGGTGAGACGTGGAGGTAGGAAGGACCCAGGGGCACAGCTTCATACAAGATTGAGCTGGCATTGCCAGGTTATATTGCCAAGCTATAGGGTTTGTGCCTGGCCTTGGAGGAACCTCCCTGAACAGTCAGGACCTGCCACAAGAATACCAGGGGACTTCCCAGGGCCTGGCTCCTAGAGACACATTTGGGCCATTCCTGCTTAGAGTGCGGCACAGGGAGTCTTTCCTACTGGGCCTCAGACAGGGCAGGTGACCCAGCCCTCCCTCGTAGGATGAAGGGCAGGAGCCCACACGTGGGCCAGTAACCATCAGGGATGGGTGTCTGTGAAATGTCTAGGGTGATAACACAGTAGCCACCACACCAGGTGGCCGTGTAATATAATTATCCACCCTAGGCAATTATAATCAGTGATGAAATCTGAAGTCTTGTTCTCATCCTCTGTAATCAGCACAAGGCCCCTGACTGGTCTCAGCTTGGAATATCCTTCTGGTCTCCTTCTTCTGCCCGTGAGTGGGGAAGGCTCCTGCTGGCTCTCCTGCCACCTCCTCCAGGAAGCCCTCCTAAGCCCCTCTGTGGGGCCCACTTCCTCTCGGACCACACAGCTCTTTGTACCCATCCCTGAAGCATAGGTATTGGTATCCTTTCCCCATCTCCCTGCAGCATTGTAAGCCCCCTGGGAGCAGTTCCCCTGCTTGATGTACCCACCATCCTCAGCCCCAGCCTAGAGCCCCACAAATCATGGACATTTGATGGAAAAGATGACTGGCCCAGGCAAGACCCTAAGAGGCTCTGCAGTGGTGTAGGATCAGATGAGATTCATGCCTCTCAGCTCTGCTCGGGTTAGAATGTCCTAGGCAGCATTTCTGGGCCCTGGACATTCTGAGTTCATGGTTTGGATGCATGTTGATTCAGAATCATTAAACTAGATTAACTCTCAGCCTTTCAACGTGTCAAATGTTAACCAGACCTACGGACTCGGCCTTTCAGGGCTGTTGATGCTACTGGTCTGAGGACCACGCTTTGACTGTCACTGTCTAAGGCAGTGTTCTCAGTCTTGGCTCTACAGCAGAAATCACCTGGTGGGTGACCTTTTAAGACCATAGATGCCCAAGCCCCAGCCCCCTGAGATTCTGATTCAATTGGTCCAGGGTGAGACCCAGACATACTATATAAGTTGCATTCCTAGCATTAATACTGTGCTTTATTTTTTCTAACCTTTTTAGTGTTTCCTAAATCTAGTCTTCTTTTCCTTCTGTTTCCCTCCTATCACCCCCTCCCTTGGGCCCCCGTCATCTCACACCAAAGCTTGGGTAGAATCCTCTTAACTTGTGTTTCTCACATTATGAAAAAACTGAAAAGTGAAATGAAAGTCACTCAGTCGTGTCAGACTCTTTGCGACCCCATGGACTGTAGCCTACCAGGCTCCTCTGTCCATAGGATTTCTCAGGCAAGAATACTGGCTTTGCCAAGCCCTCCTCCAGGGGATCTTCCCGACCCAGGAATTGAATCTGTGTCTCCTGCATTGGCACTCAGATTCTTTACCACTAGTGCCACATGGGAAAGTCATGCAGTACCTTTAGATTCCAGCATCTGTCACTTACTATTTGTGTCACCTGGCGCAGGTAACCTGCCACTGTTCCTTAGTTTCTGCCCGTGGAATTGGTGATGTTAACCATTTCCTCATGGGGTTATGGGAGGCTCACAGGGTAGCTTATGAGAAGAGTTTTAGCTTAGTGGAGCCACCATGGCCTTCAGGGGTGTGGGTTCCAGGGCGGCCCCTGCTGGCCATGTCTCTGATTTTCATAAACACAATGAGTAAGGACTTAAGGGTTTCCAGGCTCCCAGCCATGATCAGAGGGACTACCAGGCTCAAAACCTTTCTTCTCTTGTGCCCCTCAGCTGCTGCATATTACCTGCACCTCAGAAACCAACTTGGGCTCATCTTTCTTTTTTTTGTAAATTTATTTATTTTTAATTAGAGGATAATTGCTTTACAACATTGTATTGGTTTCTGCCATACATCAACGCCATACATGTTATCGGCCCTCCTGAAACTTGCTTCTACGAAGATAAAGCCTCAGCTCCATCCCAGCACCTGAGGTGCCCCCAGTCTCTAATTCTCCCACTCCCCTGAGAGCCCAGCAGCTCATCCCCCATCCACACCCTCACCCTTTACCACACTCATCAGTTCACCCGGGGGCCTTACCTGCATGGGCAGAATTCATGGAGGTGAGGCTGGGGCCTGGCTCCAAGGCATCTCTGACTGGGTCTGGGATCAGAGACAGGGAAGTTAGCACAGGCAATTGAAATTTTCAGGAGCATCAGGGGCCATTGACTGTCTTACTTCTTTTGCATGTGTTTTGAGAAACACTGAAGCAGAGAAATGGTGATGACATTATAAACAGCTTCCTTGGTCCAAAATGGTGGAGGTGAAGATTAAATAGTTTCTGGGGGCTTCTGGTGTGGTGCTGTGGATAAGAATCTGCCTGTCAGGGCAGGGTACGTGGATTCGATCCCTGGTCCAGGAAGACTTCGTGTCCTGTGGAGCAGCTAAGCACCTGCGCCACAGCTACTGAAGCCCATGTGCTCTAGAGCCCGTGCTCTGCAACAAGAGGAGCCACGCAGTGAGAACCCCACACACGGCAACGAAGAGTAGCCCCTGCTTGCTGCAACTGGAGAAAACCCGCACGCAGCAATGAAGACCCAGCACAGCCAAAACTAAACAATTTTTTAAAAAAGGAAATAGTTTCTGAATGCAGAACTTCCTAGAGCCCATACTTATTAGAAACACATGCACTGCATTCTTCCAGTGGAGACAATATACCTTGCCCACATTACTCTGAGAATCATCTGGAGGATTTTCCTTCATGAAACATCATTTGAGAAATTCCTAAATGAAGTGTCTGGTCATAAACCTTACAACTCTTGCACAGTGAGAACACACAGAACCTGCTGCTGCTGCTAAGTCGCTTCAGTCGTGTCCGACTCCGTGTGACCCCGTGGACGGCAGCCCACCAGGCTCCTCTGTCCCTGGGATTCTCCAGGCAAGAATACTGGAATGGGTTGCCATTTCCTTCTCCAACGCATGCATGCATGCTAAGTCGCCTCAGTTGTGTCCGACTCTGGGCAACCCAATGGACAGCAGTCCACCAGGCTCCTCCATCCACAGGATTCTCCAGGTAAGAATACTGGAGTGGGCTGCCATTTCCTTCTCCAGAAGAGGAAAAACTGAACCCTGTGCTCTGGTATGAAGGTGTCATCCTGTCTTTACTTTGCTGCTCCTCGCCATCTGAGACAGCTCTGCCTCCCACCACTTTGACCATTATCCTCCTGTCTGTCCCTCCAGCTCTAACAGACTAGGCTTCCGAGAAGTGGGAGTGGAAGGCTGGGGGGAGAGGTGGCTCAGACCAGAAGCCTCTCCGGCTCTGTGTGGGGAACAGGAGGCATGCCTTCACCTCTTGTGCAGAAACAGACAGAAATTGAGCAAGGATGTGGTCTCAAGGTCACGGTCTGAAGCTCCCTGGCATTCGGAAACCATGGTATCCGGGGTCTGTGCCTTCCAGTGTCTGCTCCCCACTGTCTTGGGGACAGAATATGCAGGGTGACCTCCACATCACCGTGTCACAGGAGCAGGGCTGTTGCCAAACTGCTCTGTTGTCACTGTTAGCAGGTCCACATCCACCAGACCAACATCCTGATTCATAGTTTTGCAACACTAAACACTGTGTGTGGGTTGAAAACTCCAGGATTTGGTTTCTGGTGTGTTACAAACCTCTCCGTTCACGGTCTGTGCATTAGACAATCATTTGGGTCAAAAGCCTCCCCTTCTTGTTCCTGTGGAGCCGATATCCAAGTGCCTTCCTCCAGCAGGTACTCAGAAGCCCTGAGCTAGGGTCCTTTTTCCAACCCAGACTCAGAGAACCCCTTCCATCACGTGGCTTTTCTCCTCTGCCTCAGTCGGTGGGGAGAAAGAAGATGCCTTTGGAGGATTCAAAAAGCATTCAGGTGGTGGGGCTTCCCTGATGGCCCTGCCCGCCAATATGGGAGACATGGGTTCAATCACTAGGTTGGGAAGATCCCCTATGCCGCAGAGCAACTAAGCCCACATACCACAACTACTGTGGCCAAGTGCTGCAGCTACTGAAGCCCAAGAGCCCTAGAGCCCATGCTCTGCAACAAGAGAAGCCACTGCAGTGAGAAGCCCATGCACTACAACTACACAGTAGCCCCTGCTCACTGCAGCTAGAGAAAAGTCCATGCAGTAATGAAGGCCCAGTGCAGCCAAAAATAAATAAATTAAAAAAAAAAATCGAGGTGTTGAATCAGGACTTTAGCACCCCAGCTCTTTGGATGAAGATTTAGCTACCATCTGGTGCACCTGGACACATGGGGCAAAGCTTCATTCTCCCTTCAAGGATTCCTCTTGTCTACTTCGTTTTCCAAGGAAGTTCTCAAAACTCACATACCAGGCCAGGTCAACAGGGAGAAGCTGGGTCTGGGCCCAGCACCTCACAAGGTCCCTCTTTAGGAGTTATTCTTTGACCCTGGTGTGGATTTTTTAAATAAGAATCTTACCTTCTGAAGAGCACTGGGGTTCATCTCTTTCCCAGTCTTCACAGTCCATTTTCATACCTGGGTTCTCCTCCAAAACGGACATTTTCAGTGTGAGGAAATGACTCAACAGGAGGCTGGGATGAAGGGCATGACCTGAGTGGACAGGAAGAAAATTGCTAATGGCATCTTTTGACCCCTGAAGACCTTGCTGAATGCCCCTTAAGTGTCCATCAGGCTGCAGGCCTTGCTCTCTGCCTGAAAACATTTGCTGCATCCAGGAAGTCCTCCCAGGGCTGGGCCATCCTTTTATGATGTTTGCCCCTCCAAAGCGATATTTTTGAAACATATCATTTTTATGATCTTGACAACATTTTAGCAAAATGAAACAGAAAATTCAAAGTATATTGTTCTACAGTATGGAGGTTCCTTTCAAAACTAAAAATAGAGCTATCACATGACCCCGAATCCCACTACTGGGTGTATATCCAGATAAAAACATGATCCAAAAGGATACATGCACCCCAACGTTCACTGAAGGAGTATACAATAGTGAAGACATGGAAGCAACCTAAATATCCATCAACAGAGGAATGGATAAACAAGATATGGTGTGTATATACAATGAAATATTGTCCAGCCACTAAAAAGAAGGAAATAATGCCATTTGCATTAACATGGATGGATCTAGAGATTGTCATACTGAGTGAAGTTAAGTCAGACAGAGAAGGAGCAGTATCATATGACATCCCTTATATATGGAATCTAAAGAGAAATGATACAAATGAAGCTATTTACAAAGCAGAAAGAGACTCACAGACTCACAAGAGAATGAACTTGTGGTTGCGGAGGGGGAAGGATGGAGAGAAGGGATAGTTAGGGAGTTTGGGATAGACAGGTACACACTGCTATATTTCAAATGGATAACCAACAAAGACATATGATACAGCACAGAGAATTCTGCTTGTGGGGCAACCTGGACGGGAGGGGAATTTGGGGGATAATGGATGCATGTGTGTGTATGGCTGAGTCCCTTTGCTGTTCACTTGAAACTATGACATCATTGTTTGTTAATAAGCTATACCCCAATACAAAATAAAAAGTTGGAAGTATATTTTTCTAATCCCTGGACTGGAGAAAGACAGCCCGCAGGCCAAATCTGTCCTACCACTTGGTTTTAAATAAAGTTTTATTGGAACACAATCATGCCTGTGTTTACGTGTTGTCTATGGCTGTTCTCTGGCTGCAACAGCAGAGATGAGTCATTGAAAGAGAGTAAAAGAAAGACTCTACTGCTTACTGTCCCAATCTTCATAAAAAAACTTTGCCAACCCCCTGCTAGAGTCTAGTCAGCAAAGAAAGGCCATTTCTTTGCAACCTCTTGTCATGGAAAACAGAGCCTCCAAAGATCCCAATTAGCTCAACTCCTGATGTCTTGGGGCAGGGTTGACTCAGAATCCCCTCACAGAACAGGCTCGGAGGAGAGAAGCTTCCAAATACCTTTCAGTGGTACATATCACCTCTCACCCGATTCACGAAGCCCGTTCCCCAACATGAGTTCAGGGCAACACAGTGAGGGAAGCAGGGCAAGAATTGTTTATTCCCAATTTACAGATGAAAAACCTGAAGGTAGGTGACATCTCAAGGCTGACACCACTTTTAAGGTTGCAGAGATGGAAGTTTTGTGTGAAAACCCAATCCTTGGAGAAGGGCTTAGGTAAAAGACAAAGAGAACCTAGATGGTTTTATAATAAGTAAAAAGAGTAGGGAGAACTCCAGGGCTTGTCAGTAGGACAGTAAGCAAAGGAGAGGATGACCACCGGCCAGTTCTGGGGGAGAACTGATGGCTCTTTAAGGGCACAGATATCTACTCTTTGATCCTCAGTAGTTCATTGTTTGCACCCCCTGAATCCACAAAGCACACCTGCCTTTGCAGTTTGAGGGAAAAATCAAGGGACACAAAGGATTGATGGCACTTGAGAAGGCAGGGACATTGGCATTCATGGGATGGCATCAGAACAAAAGATAAAAGTGTAGGTATCCAAATACGTGAAGATGCTGCTGGTGACCAGGAGGATGCCCACAGGCTGGAGGACCTAGGGATGTCCCTGTGAGCTGTTTATGGAATTTGCCACCTATATCAAGGTAAATGCAGGTGGCTTCCACAGAGCTTCCTAAAGAGGCAGTGCATTCAGCCATTGACAATCATCTCTCCAGCTCGGATCGCTCAAAATATTGGGTTCCAAACAATCTTTCTGAAGACCAGCACTTTCCAGACTCTGGAATGAGTCTTCTCAGCCTTCAGAGAAGAGGCTGGCATTATCATAGTTTGCAGGTTTCCTAAGCTCAGGGATTGCCTGGCCCTGGAGCAATGCCTGCTTATTGGTGGTGGCCCTCCTAAAAGGCTTCCAGCTGCATTGGGGGCTGAGAGCAAGGTGGTCTGGGCAGGTCTCAGAGAGAACATTTAGAAATTCAGGAAATCCACAGAAGGCAGGCTTCTGTTAGGGAAATAGCAAGGCAGGCACCAGTTGCTACTGGGCTCCTCCATCTATATCAGGTGGTTTCTCAAGCCAGGGGTAAGGACCACATGGGCTTCCTAGAGGCTCAGTGGTAAAGAATCTGCCTGCCAATGCAGGAGATACAGATTCAGTCCTTGGGTTGGGAAGATCCCCTAGAGAAGGAAATGGCAACCCACTCCAGTATTCTTGCCTGGGAAATCCCATGGACAAAGGAGCCCAGCAGGCTACCATCCATGAGGTCGCAAAGACTTGGGCATGACTGAGCGAATAAACAACAACAAAGGACCACTTACCTGGGTCAGGGATCCCCGAAGTCTGTGGCTATGTCTTGGGCTCCTGGAGCACTGTTGTCTTATACACTGGAGGGACCAGGCGTGATCCTCACTTTGAGTAATCATGCAGCATCTCTCCAGCCAGTCATTGATGGCATCTGAGGTTATTAGTTCGTCACTCATTGCCTGCCATCTTTCATACCAAAGGTATAAAGGAATTCCTGTGGGTAGTATCACATTGCCAAGGATCATGTTACATCCATTCAACACAGTTCACAGTGCTTGAGACAGACTGTGTGGGTGCCCATCTAGTCTGACAACAGTGGTTTAGGAAAGAGATGTAAATGAAAGGAAAGAGGAGACAGGTTGGGCAGACAGTCTGGGAGGTGCAGGAAAGTCCCCATTCTCACGGTGTTCAGGTAAGTGTCGTTGTTGTTCAGTAGCTCAATTGTGTCTGACTCTTTGTGACCCTATGGACTGTAGCACACCAGGCTTCCCTGTCCTTCACCATCTCCCAGAGCTTGCTCAAACTCATGTCCATTGAGTCAGTAATGCCACCCACATCTCATCCTCTGTCATCCCCTTCTCCTCCTGCCTTCAATCTTTCCCAGCATCAGGGTCTTTTCTAATGAGTCAGCTCTTCGCATCAGGTGGCCAAAGTATTGCATCAGTCCTTCCAATTAATATTCAGGATTGATTGCTGGGGCACCCACATTTCAGAGAAAAATGTTTTTCTTTCATCTGTCCTTCCAACGCACTCCAGGCTGCCACTGACACCTCCCTCCACCTCTTCTCTGTCCTCTTTTCTTCAGTGATGACATGCAAAGCATTCTCAAGGGAACTTCCATTTTTAAAAACAAAAACTGTGTTTTATTGGAGTGTTTTTAGTAATTTATGAAAACACAGGTACTTTCTAAAATAGAAACCTATTATAAAAATCTATTATTGAGTTAACACTGGAAGTAAACTGTATGCTGATCCATTTCCTTCCTTCACAATAGTCTATGAATATTCTTTTCTTTTGGAGGCTATAATAAATTTGTAGTAATATATTTATCTCTTTCATTTCATATTTTAGTATTTTTGGTTTACTCTTAATGATGAGTATAGATTTAGAGGTTAACATTTACCTAAGATATATATTTTTCAATCTAGAAGTAAATATTAAATAAAGGTACTCAGTTCAGATGTTTGATTTTTTTAATTACGTTTAATATTTTTAATAGTTTTCAATACCATTGTATAAAGGGGGAAAGACTTATTAATTGAAGTCAGATAATTTCCCCACACATTACTATTGAACCCTGCCTGTTTACTTCATCCATCTCTTAGATTTCATAAAATCTGTAAAAAAGCCGTAACTTTTAGCAGACTTACCTCCTCCTGTTCCCTGGTAGATCTTTTCAGGAGTAATGTTATCATTGTTTTTAGCCACTAAGTTGTGTTCAACTCTTTGCAAGCACATTTCAGAAACGTGAGGTCCCTTACCCAAGGCCACACACTGGAGTCCCATTGCCCCCATGAAGCACTGACCACACCCTCTCCCCGACAGGGTCCCAGAGGCTCAGAGCTGTCTCAGACTCTGACTGCCTTCTTGTCACTGAAGAGACCTTGTGAGAGGGGGTGACGGACGTGGGGACAGGTGACACAGACTGACACAGAGGTGCAGTGAGGGGTGGCTGAGTATATAGGTCATCAGAATAAACTTTGAGAACATGGGGGAAACTCCTAGCTTTTCATTTTGGGAAAGAAAATGAAAATTTAAGGTAACATCATCATATATAGGTGACGCTAGTGGTGTAGAACCTGCCTGCCAATGTGGGATACATAAGAGACATGGGATTGATCCCTGGTTCGGGAAGATCCCCTGGAGGAGGGCATGGCAACCCACTCCAGTATTCTTGCCGGGGAAATCCCATGGACAGAGGAGCCTGACAGGCTACAGTCCATGGAGTTGCAAAGGGTCGGACACGACTGAGCGACTAACACTTTCACTTTCTTGTTTTTCTTCAGGTGCTAAACTGGATACTGAAGGTACACTAGGAATTGGTCCACGGTTGCCCTTGCTCCCAGGATGCTCACAGTATAGGAAGTGCCAGGCAAGGGAAACAGGAGAGAAGGGCATTTTCAGCAGAGAAAGTGGCAAAGGCAAGGCCCAGGGCACAGGAGAAGCTGTTCTGCTCTGGGCATGGCCAGCCCTTCTGTGTGGCTGGACCTTGGCATCAGGTTGGCTGGAGATGAGGTCAAAGAATTTGCACAGAACAAGCTGGTCACAGGTGCCACACAATGCCCTTGGGTTTGGGGTCCTTAGGCAAGAGGGA